ATATCGAGAGCTTATTTTTCAGACTGAGCTCTGCTTTAGCCACAGTAGTTAGAGCTAATTCAAGCAGAACGCCATTGCCTACTCCATTTCGCCGCTCGATCTCTTCGACAAATTTTTCATCACTAGTAAATACAGATCAGAAGTACTTGAACTTCTCCACCTGCCCCACTACCTCTCCGTTAATTTGAAGAGAGCAACGGGCATGAGAACGAAAAAGCACGACTTTTCGGTTTAGATGCGTTCACACGCATGCCGGTCAAGTCGTACTCGGCGGCGAACCTTTCTTGGGAGCACTGAAGATCACTTTCAGAAGATGCTAATAAAACAAAGTCGTCTGCAAACAGCAGCTTTTTCGTCTTCACATCTCCTACACCGATACACTCATCGCCTTGGCAGCTCAAACAGTATAGGGGACAGGAAGTAGCTTTGGCAGAGAACAATGCGGACTTTGAATGGTTTCGACTTAACGCCATTAACTCGGACGCAGCACATGCTATCAGAATACAGTGATTGGATGGCCCTTAGCAGCTGGCCATCTATCCAGTATGCTCGATGGCATGACCACAGGCTGCTGTGTGGGATCCGGTCATAGGGTTTTTCTGGGCCCACAAACATGTACACCGTGCGGGTGTACTCCCACGATTTCTCAACAATCTGGCACATGGCAAATATATGGTCAGAGGTGCTTCGACCGGGTCGAAAGCCACGCTGCTTTTCTTGTATCTTGAGGTCAGCGGCGCCTCGTTTCTAGCACATTTGTGTAGACTTTACCTGAGAGGCTCAATAACTCAATGCACCTATAATTGGAGCATTCCTTGTGGTCTCCCTTCTTGAATGCGGGTACAATAAATTCCGTTCTTCAGTTCGCTGGTGTCTTTCCCGCGGTCATCGTAGTTTGACAGACACGCGTAAGCCAGCACATGCCTTCTTCGCCTAATGCCTTGGGCATCTCAGGGCGGATTTCGTCAATTCCGGCAGCTTTTCCACTTTTCAAGCTTTTCACAGCCTGCGCAATTTCATCTACAGAGATAGTAATATCCGTACCCTTCTGCTCTACAGGCGAGTCTTCCTGCGGCTGCGCGGGGTTAGGGAGTTCCTCAAAGTAATCCCTCCATCGCTGAAGAATGTCATCATCTTTGCTAGGAGCGTGTCCAGACCTGTCGATCAAAACCTTGAGACTGCCCTTCTTTTCATCTCGGCGCCGGCGGATGGTCTGCCAGAATACTTTGTTTTTGACTGCCGTGTCGAAATTCGACTCCAACGCCTCCCCGATCTTCTCCCAGAAATCAGCTTTGGCTTTCGGCAGTGTTGTCGCTGCCCCTTGCGTGCCTCGACATATCGCACGGTAGTAGAAGGCTCTGTGTTTCCAAGCCTTTTCTTGAACGCTGCTTTCTTCTCTTTAACTGCCAGCTGTAACTCTCGTCTTCACCATAAAGACCTTCTGACTTCCAGGCGGCAGGCCAACCCGCTTAAATTCGCAGCAATCGGCAGCAGCCTCTAGTATGCCGCATTTAAAGAGCTGCTACTCGATTTCAACTTCAGTTGTCATCACCGGGATCTGTTAAAACCGTCGTGCAAAGTTGTTTGCAAATTAGTTCTCATGTCCACCAAAGATACTGTTTCCCATTTGATTCTCCGGTTACTTCTGCCATCGGATCTTCGTATGGTACTCCATTTCGTGCCGCGCAGCGTGCCAGCAACAAGCTGACGATCAGTTGAAAGTTCTGCGCCTCTTTTAACACGAAAATCCATTACTGAGCGTCTTAGGTCAGACGATACGATTATCAAATCGATCATC